AGCCTGCCATTGCGAGGCTCTCCTTCTGAAAATGCTAGTAGTCATATTAACCCTTTTCCCATTACATTTTAAGCCACAGACCCGGAAATAGTCAAGGATCACAGAAAAAAATTCCTGACTTAGCTCAGCCATCCCATCCTATTATCTGAATCATTTTGTTTTTTTTTAAACCTGACTTGTAATTCACATATGAAAGCTCAGCATTTGGTTGACATCTGTGCACTTGTCCGGCCCTTAATCTCTTGAAGCGAATGCCCTGCAATTACCTGTGATCTCCTGGGCTGGAATGTTGGATCTGGTCTAATGTCTCCAGGCACATTCCTTGTATGTCTCTTAAGCAGCCACTAAGCTTTGCATACGAGTTTGTCCAGTATTTTTATTTATTTATTACACGTACTTATAAAGCACAGACAATTTATGAAGTGCTTTACATAACTGCACCTTCACATCAGTCATGAAAAGAGAGAATCCAGTCAAACAGTAAAAATATAACAATTTTCCATCATTTGGAAGGGTTGCTGCCTCTGCACTCTCTTCCTTTTTTTAAATGTGTTTTAGAGCTGTATGAAAATGTGGTCAGCTTAGTAAATGTGTTAATGCGTAATAGTATCTTGAAGATAGCTTAAGCAGGCCATTCACTGGTAGATTTGTGATTAAAATAATATACTGGTATACAGTAATACCTTGGCTTACAAGTAACTTGGTTTGCGAGTGTTTTTCAAGACAAGCAAACATTTCTGAAAAATTTTGCCTTGATATATGAGTGATGTCTTGCAATACAAACAAAATTTTGTGGAAAAGCACCACCCGAATAAGGCTGTAGCAGTGTGAGCGATGAATCTGTTTAACCACAATGCAATGTCACATTTCCGCAAAATCCTCAAAAGGAGCCAACAGCAAGTGTCATTGGATAGGTTCCTTGTTAAGGATTCTCGAAATGAAAAAGATTCGATTGAGCCAAGAGATGGAAGTGATTCCCTTAGTGATAGTGAAAGTCGCCCTACACAATTATCCTCCGCTCTCTTGTCCCCCTCACACCAGCCATGAAGGTACCGGTAATTGGTTTATTTTTATTTATATTCTGTACAGTATTATAATCATTTTTATATGAATATTTTTGGGTTGTGGAACGATTCATCTGAGTTTCCATTATTTCCTATGGGGAAATTCACTTTGATATACACTGAGTGGCCAGATTATTATGACCACATGACGTTTGTAGGCTAATTAGCTATAATTTCGCGCTGAAGTTGCTAGAGGGCCAGACCATTATAAATAGGGAAGCAGGTTGTTTGCCACGACAGTAGAAGTGATTTTGTTCTGAAGATATGGGTAAACAACGCAATTTAACAGCCTTTGAACATAGGATGATTGTTGGCGCTCTGAGCCATGGAGCGAGTATCAGCAAAACAGCAGTATTCGTTAAATGTTCAAGAGCAGCTGTTGTTAAAGTGTTTAAAGACAGTCCATGTCAGCCAAAAATCTGGGTCTGAACGTGCGAATTGTGGCCGTCAGCGACTAGTCAATGTTAGCGCAGAACGGAGAGTGGCAAGACTGGTACAAGACAACAGAAGGGCAACAGTGCAGTGTCAGATTCCTCGCATCACCTTTCAACATCTTGTGGAGTCATGAGGCGGCCCAGCAAAGTCCTCTTGTGGAGTCATTTGAAAAATAAGCCTTGGAAAGTGCCCAGGAACAGTATAATAGCAGCACATTAGACTTTTCTCTACCTGGCAATAAGAACCTGACAGGGGCCCTAATTCTTGCCTACTCTGTTCAAAACTAAACAAATGGGGTTTAGATATACTTTTACTACTTTCCTCCCCAGCTGAAAATACTTTTCCCCCTTTCATTCCCCTGCCTCTCTGTTCAACCCCTGGTAGGAAGAGAAGGACTTTACATATGATTGTGGACTGTCCCAGTTAGGGTTGCCACCTTTTCTTCCAGTGAAACCCGAACACTCTAGCGATGCATGGATTTTTGGGGGGGAGAATGAGTCGTGGCTTTATTCATATGTAAATAGCGCCACCCATTAATATGTAAACATCACAGTCAAGGCTATTTTCAGTTGGGTGCCAGTAGCCTCTATTTTACTTTTTGTTGCCCTTGTCTGCCTGACATTTTGTGTCCGGGTTTCAGCTGTCATGAAACCCGGACACAGCATTCAAAACCCGGACTGTCCAGGTGAATCCCGGACAGGTGGCAACCCTAGTCCCAGTGTGACTGTGTTGGGTGGCCAGTCATAAGTGCTGTTGCATAGGAGGAAGAGGTGTGAATCAAATGCTCCTACATTCCCAGAAGTATGAGGTTTTGCTATTACTGACAGAGCCACAGATCAGCGGGTCATTTAAGAGAAGATAAATATGTGCTGCTAGGGAAGGCAGCACATATTCAAAGCGGAAGAAAACCTAAGGGAAAAAAAGAAAGGGCCCCCAGGAGCTTTTAGCCATGATGTGCTAGTATGCATATTAACAAATCTAAAGAAATTAAGTAGGACTTTTCAGGTGCACAGACTCGTCTGTCAATTAAAACATTCATTTTATTGGAACATATTAAAATATATATCTATATATATCTATATACTATACATATACTCTTAAAGGCATAAACACCAACGTACAAGACATAGCCTGCTTATGAAAGTCTTACTGAAGATACCACTCTCTTAATGTCCAGGCATGAATGTAATAATTGGTGCTCTCGTACGGGAATATCTGTCCTCCAATTCCATCCAAGTGTTTAATTTTGTGTTTGCGCAGCACCTTTTTTCTCCCCCAGTCCGGCCACCCCCCACGCTGCCGGTCCCGAAGCGATCCTCCATTCCCCGAACTTCCTGGTTGTGGGGGGAGGCTACTGATGGCAGAGGAGCCATAGGCTCCTTCTGCCATCAATCAAAGAGAGAAGGGGCGTGGCCTGCCACAGGGCTGTGTGTGCCTATGGCCGCACACAGCCACTGCGGGCACGAGCGTGCACGGGTGCCTCCATTAGAATGATGGTGGCACCCGTACAGGGGGCCGGAGGAAGATTGCAGCGGGGACCCACTAGAAAACGAGCAAATAAAAACTTTTAAAGAAAAACAGCCTCAAGCAAAGGTGGGTCTCCTTGTATTAAATATTTTTTTTTTAAAAAAGGAGGCTTTAATATCACTTTAAGGATGGTTTCCTTCTCAATGTCTCTACACGTTTCGCCTTTAAAGGCCTCTTCACGAGAGAAACGCTCACGAATAATAAAAAGAAAGCTCCATTTAGAGCATCAAGTGTCGAAGGGGAACAGCACTCCCTGTGCAGGTGGGGGACCACATGAGGGGACACCCCAGAATGCCAAAAATGACCAGAGAATCCTCAATAGTTATCTTGCCTGGTGGCCCTATAGCTTCCACCATCACTGTAGAAGTGGTGCCGCTGGCATTTTGGGGTGTCATCTCGTGTGCTCAGCTGCACATGCACGGCTCAGCGTACAGAAAAAATATTGCCAAATGGTAAAAACAAGCTTTTATGGCAGAGGAGACTCTTCTGCCATAGAATTCCTGCCAATCAGCAATTTTTTTGTCAAGCTTTACTTCCACATTAAGTAAAATTTTGCCTTGCTCTACATGGGCAAGTTATACAGTAGGTACAGTAGTGCGTGTGCTCCCCACCTAACACGCAGTAAGTAAGTTGGTTCCAACGTTATTATAACATTATTTTAAAACAGTATTCTGGTATTCCAATAAAACAGGAAAAAAAGGGATTATATTACAAGAAAAATAAAATGATAAATTAATTACAATGGTACAAACTATTTTTTAGATTCCTCTCCTAATTAACATAAAAGTAAAAAAAAAACAATTTGCTCCATCTGTTAATCATACAGTACAGCGGTTTCCGGTTTTGTTTTGTTTTTAGTTATTTTTTTTATCAAAGAACACATTTACACAGAGATAGGAAACATAATTTAATTTAAAAAAGGAAGTCATTCCTATTAAAGTGATTGAAACTTTTTTTTTTACTTGAAAGGCGCTGTTCTATGCACAATACGTCACTTGAGAATTAATTTTCTTTAGCTGCTTTAGCTTGCTCTCTTCATATGACGTCTTTGGAAGTCCTTCTGTATTTTTACTGTAGCATTCAGTTAGTTTTAAATCCTAGCTAACAGATTTTGTTGTTCTCTCTCCACTTTCTTAAAGCTGAATTCCAAAAAACAGCTAAACACACAGCTGGAATACATATATGGGAGCTGTTTTACCTGCCAAAGGATTTGTATACCTGTCTATCCAGTTCTGATATTTAAACAGCCCAGTAAAACAGCATAGCCATGTCTGTAAGGCAGGGGACCTTTCTCTGCAGCAGTTTAGTAACACTTACAAGTCTTGCCCCCCCCCCCCCCCCCCCCCCGCCGGGACGAGGA